CCCAGTGGCTATAGGGGGAGGGGGGCTTCTCGCCACAGTCTGAAGTCCTAGCCCCCTCCCCAGGAGTTCTGACCCCAGCTCTCCCTCCATGCCCTCAGAACCCAACCTCTGGGGAGGACTGAATTCTCCAGAAGGCAAAAGAAATGGCCAGGAGATGTGAGGACCAGAGACAAGTACAGATCCAGGCAGGAGGGTGGGAGCCCTAAAGAGAAATGGGGCCAGGTCTGAAAAGATGTGTGTGTGTGTGTAGGGGGGTGGTGCTACCCATAAGTAGCTTGGTCAGGGAGGGCCAGATGGGGAGCAAAAGGAAAGAAAAGTCTCTCCCATTCTCCTTCCTCCCCTCCCCCAACGTCCTGACCACCCCCTCCCCATTTCTTTGGAGGGAGGGGGGGGCAAGTTGAAAGCCCATTAATGGGCAGAGACCCCCAACCCTTTTGAATCTCCTCACAGGATGTGAACTAGGGTGGGATTTGGCCCCAGTTGCCAAGGCAACTGTGGTGGGAGTTCCCAGACGCTAGGCAACCCTCCTGTGACCCTTGCTGACCTGTCACCCCCACAGCCCGTGGACAATGGGAGTGCGTGGTCCAGAGGCCCAGGATGCCTTTCAGTGAGGCCGCGCCAGCAGCTTGGCCGCCCCACCCGCCTGGCTCAGCTCTCCTGGCCCCAAGTCCAGCTCTCCTCAGCCACAAGGCCCCCAGTCCAGCTTCCTAGCCCTCCCTGGGCCTCCACCTCCTAAAACCTGCCACCCACCACTCCCAGCCTTCATTGCCCAGACACAATAGGGTGGCTGTGGGTCCCCAGAGAAGCCCCCTGTCCCAAGACCAACCGAGAACCTTTTAGTAAATCTTTGCGATCACATTTTAGGTAGTGTTCAGATTAGCATCAAACAGAAGGCTGCCTTCAAAGAAACCCATCCAAGAGGGGGCAACTATGTGGAAGGGGCCAGCAGGGCTGGGGGCTCTGCCTTGATGAAGGAAGGGGGGTGGGTGGGCGCTCTTTCCAGCAGCTGGGGGCCACCTCTACCAGCTGACCAGCCAAGGGCCCAGCACAAAGCAGGCCTCGATGCCTGTTTACGGGGTGGGGGTGGGGGATGCGTGGCCTGAGGCCTGCTCTGCTCCCCTAGCACCTTCCTCCAGGTGAGGTTGTGTAGCCTTGGCGAAAGCCTCAAGGACCGCGTGGAGTGGTGTGGCCCTGTCCCTCCCAACAAGGGGCCAACACTGGAGCCTTGAACACTGGGATGGAGCAGCCAGCCTGGGACCCTCTCTAGTCAGCCGGACCTGCCAAGACAGCCAAGTCAAATCACCCCCACCCCCACTCCAGCCGCTGTTTAAATAAGCTTTGTTGCATGGAAACAAGAGCCGGCTCTTGTTCCAAAGTGACGTGGCCGCCCTCCCCGGCACTGCGTGTGTCGGCCTGACTTCTGATTCGTCCTGTTTATTTCTCCCTCCTCTGTCAACTCATCACCCCCAGAAGCCAGGGCTGCACATCCAGGTCTTATTTCCCCAGAGCCGAAGACGGGGGCACCAGTAGACAGACAGATGGAAAGGACTGCGGCCCTACGTGGACACAAGGCGGAGTGTGCCTCACCCGCACATGCACACCCTGCCCCCGCTGGCGCCAGGGGCCACCCAGAGCCGGTGGTTTCCCTTTGTATAAGGAGTCCCTTCATTCACCCACGTGGCCATTTCGTGAGCAGCACGGCATGTGCGTTACAGAGGCGTGGCGGGTGACAGGTTGGGCAGCTAACCACAAGGTTGGCGGTTCGAGAGCACTAGCTGCTGTTTGCTCCCGTCAACAGCTACGACCTCAGCAGCCCACGGAAGCCAGTCTCCAGGGCCCAGGGTTCTTCTCCCTCTGAGCCGAGGGGCGAGTCTTCGCCCACGACATCTCCCGGCGTCTCTGCTACTTGAGGGGCCTCTGAGTCGCCGTGAGTCAGAACTGACTCGATGGCTGCGATCTCACCCCACTCCCACCCCCCTTTTTCCACAGGGGACTGAAGGGGTGTGACAGAAGCAAAATGAAGGGGCTCAGCACCCTGAACCAGGGCTTCACAGAGACCTGAGCTCCAGCCGCAACCCTCCTGTGCCATGTGGCCAAGCCCATGCCTACCTCTGGGCTTCCTTCCTGGCTGTGATCCGGGACCAGTATCAAGTCTCCCAGAGGTGGCAGGCACCCCGATGGCACAGCAGATAAGCACCGGGCTGCTAGCCGGCAGGTTGGTGGTTTGAAGGGACCCAGCTGCTCCACGGGAGAAAGCTCAGTAGTCCCACTCCTGCAAAGACTCCTGCCAGGAAAGCCCTGCCTGGTCACATGGGCTGCCATGAGTCAGACTCAGGCTCCATGGTACCCGACCACAACAGCAGCAGCAGCAAGGACCCAGGAACGAGGGGTGATTAAGTAACACAGGGTATGTGGGAAAGGAGACCCGGTCCGGCACAGCAAGCAGATGCTAGGCCCTTGTTTATCCTCCATGATATTTGTTTATGCTTCCTGGTTGTGGCTAGAGCAGAGAGGGAGGAGCCGCCGGAGGGGCAGGCCATCCTCCTGAACGGCGCGCTACCCTGTGGAAGGTCAGAAACCTCTGTCCTCCTCGGGGCACCACCCACGCCCCCACCCCCAGCTCCAGTCAGATGTTGGGCAGTGGAGGGACAGATGGTTTCCTTCTCATTCATTTATTATTATTATTATTATTTTGGGTCGTTTTAGTTTTGCAGGGCTCTTTTCCTAGTTTGGAGCCTACGCAACCTTTTTTAAGTCTCAGCTATTTTCCTTGGCCCTGGGCACGAGGCCCACAGTGAGCCCAAATGGATAAAACAGCCCTCTCTCTGCAGCCCAATCCCCACCCCGGCTTCTTTGTGAAACAGATATAGGATTTTCCAGGACTTCGGGAGAGTCCCCAAAACAAACAGAAATAGCTGGGCCTTAGAATAGTAGATGACAGAACATGGCTGGCGTGTAACGGAGAAGGAAGAAACCTGATCGGTGCAGACAGTTCCCCCACCCTACACATCTCCCCAGTTTTCCAGATGTATCTGCATCCACTCTTTAAAATCATTTAAAAAGAGAAAGCCCAGGGGTTGGTTTGCTCCCCTGCTGTTGTGGGGTGGCCTCGGGCCCGTTCCGACTCATAGCTACTGTATGTGGGGGAGCTCCCACAGAGGGCTCCTCATGGAAGAAAGCCAGCCACCGGGTCTTTCCTCCGTCTGAGTCCCTGGGTGGGTGAGAGCCACTAGCCTTGCACCGTTACACAACCAGGGCTTCTCGGTTACTTGAGGGGCCTTGGCTTTAGTGGTTACATATAGGGCTGCCAACCACAAGGTCAGCAGTTTGAAACCACCAGCCCCTTCCGAGAGGGAAAGATGAGGTTTTCTACTCTGTTAAGAGTCTCGGAAAACCCACAGGGGGCAGTTCTATTCTGTCCTATAGAGTCAGAATAGATTCAATGGCAGCAAGTTTGGGGTTTTTCTTCTTCTCCCTTTTGTACGATTTTGCCCTTGGTCCTCTATCCCTAGCAGACAGCACAGATTTGTGTGGGACCTGCTCAGAGAACCTGCTGGAGGACGGCCTACTGGAGACCACCTCTCTGGAGGAAGTAGCCAGGCGCTTCCTGCTCCTTTCTACTGCTTCCCAGAGGAAGTGATTCAGTTCGTGGCAACGTGGTGCTGGGCCCACGTGGAGAGAGATGTCACACTTCGAATGTCATCTGATCCTAACAACCCTGTTACTTATGCCCTCCGAGGGCTCAGACTCTGGGCCAAGGTAGCCCCCTGGTCAGGGGCTGGCTAGGATTCTGCCCAAGTGCTTTCAGTTCCTGCTTGCCTACTGGCCGAGCAGCTCAGAGAAGGGGTGCAGGCCTTCTGAGGGCGCTATCTCTCATCCCAACTGGGGCTTTCTTGGAAAGGGCCCCGTTAGGCATCAGGGAGTGAGGCCAGAGGCCAGTGTGACCACATACATCCCTGCATCCGAGACACAGGAGTGGGGGCACTGGGTGGAGAGGTGCAACCAAGACCTTCTTTTCCGCATTCCCAGCCTCCAGGGGCCAGTGCCACCGGCATTGATTGGAGAAGAATCACGCAAGAGCTGGAGAATCCCAAGGCCAGGGCTGGCTGGGCCGGTTCTGGGGAACTTGTAGAGCATGATTCGCCCCTCCTCACACCTGCCCGGTGGGGCAGGGACCTGGGGCCCCTGCTCTGGCATCACCCAGCCAGGCTCCCCACCCTAGTGCCTCTCACTGCCCCCACCCCCACCCCCAGAGGCTGATCCTGAACTTCTGAACCCTGCAGTTCAGGGAGAGGAGGATGGTGGAAGAAGGCTAGAGTCTCCCACCCTGTCTTTGACCTTTTCCCAGCAGGCCTGGTCCCTGGGGGGGCCCAGTGACTGCAGTATGCTGCTGCACGGACCAGCTGCGCTGGGGGAGAAGGGGGAGGCAGTCCGCTTGGGTAAAGATCCACCAAGGGGCAGTCCTGCCCTGTCTCTTGGGGTTACTATGAGTCAGAATTGGCTCCGTGGCTATGGGTGGACCTGAAAGTTCAGTGTCTTTACAGCTTGACTCCGGGCCGAGGCAGAGATGGAGGTGGAATGTTTTATAATACAAATTAAATGAATACACCGGGACCCTCCGTCCCTCCCTAACACATACATGCCCATCTAAAGTGGGTAACCCCCCTCCCCAGCCACCCAGTAACCTACTAGTCCGGGTGTTTGTCAGAAGCACAGTGGGAGGGGGGGGGGTGACCCCCAGGCATCTTGCCAGATGGGCATTTCAGGGGTGGGGCCGCCAGCTCCAGCCTCTAAAAGTCCCCTCTTAGGAGCCCTGCCCTGCCCTGCTGCTGGGCCAAGGGAATGCAGAGGGCGTAGAGGGGGCCAGGAGGCCGGACCTGGGCAGCAGCGGCAAGATGTGAAAGTGAGGCTGCGCAGCGGCGCCCTGGGGGCTGGGCTAGGGTGGGCCGTGCGTGGTGCGTCTGCTCCCCGGTGGCCTCCCGGGAGGGCGCGGCTCCTACCTGTTGCTGCTGGAAGTGCAACAGCTCCGCGGGGCTCAACTCGCCGTTGCCGTCCGCCCCGGCGGCGCCCGCATCCCTGCCCGCTGCGCCGCCGCCTGCCGCATTCGCAGCCCCGGCCGCCCCGGCGCCGCCGCCGCCGCCATCGGCCTGCCCAGAGAGGCTGCCCACACCGTTCTGACTGGCCGGGGCCGACCTGATTGTCTCGGAGGCGGATTCCACCATCATGTCGTTCTAGCGGGACCTGGAGGGGGAGGAGAGACACGGGGGAGGGGCTGAGGCTCGAGGCTGGACGGACCGGGCCAGGTCCACTCAGGAAAGCCCCTGGCTGCCCGCTCCCCACCCCACCCCATCCCCGTCGCCCCCCCCCTCCGCTCCCCTTCCACACACAGTACAAGTACCACCACCACCTAATCCCCCCCTCCCGGGCCATCTCCTGCTCAACTTCCTGGAGACCGCTCCTGGGATTCTTGGTGGTCCTGTATCCCTGGTCCTCTAGGCCTAGGTGACTGGCAGCCCCCAACTGAAGCAAGGCCACAGCAAGGCCCCTCCCCCACCAGTTCCAAGACTGGAAGTTGACCCTCACACACCCAGAGGTGTGGCCTGAACCTATTCTAGCCTGGGGGGAGGGAGGTGGGCTTGAGTTGATAGGCGAGGGGTGTGTCTTCCAAAGGTAAGTGATTCCAGGAAGACTGGGACCACATTGTCCTATTCCCACCCAACCCCCAATTAGGGCCTTCTAGTTAGCGGTTCCCCCAGGGCTGGGCCTCAAGGGTCTTTATCACACATTGAAAACAAAAAACGGTGGCCATCACCAAGCATCTAATAGGAGCCAGACAATGAGGGAGGGCAGGGAAGGGGGAGGGCAGGGAAGGGGGAGGGCAGGCCTATTCTGCCCTCCCCCATCTCCCACTTGGAGGCCCTGGGCTCAGTCCAAGCTTGGACCCTCAGTGACGTCTTTACCCACTGTCTTTATGGGACCACACTTCCTCCTCACAGCAAGGGATCATTATTATCCCGATTGTACAGATGGGAAAACCGAGGGTCCAGATTTGACCCAAGGCCTGAAATCTGCCCCCTAACACCCGACCTGTTGGAAGCCTTCCCAGACCCCACTGCCTCTCAAGGAATGGCTGGAGCATCTCTTGAGCGGTCAAGGGCAGAGAGGAGGAGGTAGACAGCTCCCTCCACACCTTCTAGAAACCCGGTATCTGCTGGGCATGCACAGACTGTGGTGATGATAGGAGGCGGGGGAGGGAGGGAGGGGGGAGCAGGCTCTCACCTAGTATGCAGAGTTCTGAAATTCTGGGGTAAACGGAACTTCCCCTGAGCCCCAGCCCCTTGAGACAAGTTGGTCGTGGCTGGTGTCCATGACCTTGGGCAGGTTTCTTAAATTCTCAGCTTCAGCCTCCTTATCTACAGAACCGAGGTCTTTTGTTCCTGCCTCGGAGGGTGCCACATGAGCACTCAGAACTGCATGTGCACAGCACCCGTTGTTCTTGAATGCTGTCCACTTGGTTCCAACTCATAGTCACCCTATATGGCGGGGCAGAACGGCTCTGTAGGGCCTCCCAGACGGTCATCCCCAGCGGGCTAACTGCCGACTCTTTTTCCCCCTCAAAGGGATGGGGGAGTCTAACCACTGGCCTTTCCCTAGTAGCCACTGGTGGCGCAGCTGTTAAGGGCCAGACAGTCAGCCCCAAGAAGGATCAGCCCTTGCCCCGCCTGTCCTAATGATGGACCGATGGTTGGGGGACCCAGAAATGTCAAAGACTTGACCCAGGGCAAAGTCACACTCACAGCAGCCAATAAGGTCATGGAAGCCAGCCCAGTGTCCCCTCCTCCCCTGGCCTAGGCAGACCTACACTCCCACTCCCCCAACAGCCCAGTCTCGTGGCCCCATGTGTAGGTGTGGGTGGGTGAACACTGCGGTAGGAAACAGGAGGGAGGAAAGAGAATGGATAAACTTCCCTGGGGTTCTTGCCAGGATGGCAGCTCCCTAGGGCACCTTCTCCCC